AAGCATAAACATTACAAAAAATACAAAGAGAGAAAGCAAAAGCATAATCTTGGTCTAGAAACCAAGATGTCTAAATGCATGATAAATTCATCCTTTTATAGACTAGAATTTAGAACTATTAATTTGATGACTAATTATTGGATGGGTGACCATATATTGACTTGGTAATAATCTGTATCTTTTTTCTGAATAAAATGTCATTGATAACATTAGAATTTGAACCAGACTTCCACACAAAAGTTCTAGGAAATTATCTCAGCTTTTTAGGAAAAAAATTAAGGTCATTTGAACTTCTAGAACTCATGATATAAGTTGAACACTAAACAATATCTGGGCTGCAAGACAGATTTGAACTTCTACGTTGTTGCTAAAATTTAGACATCCAAACAGCAGAATTGAGTCTTAACTTTCAATGAAAGTTTTAAGCCTATGTCTTAGCTTTCCATCCATATAAAGCAGACCTAAATCTGAGATCTACAGCTCCAGATATGATCCAATTACCGAACAGTGTTTCAGTTTGAATTGCACTAACATCTATTTTCTAAGTTTGGCCCTTTTTTTATCCTTTCAATTTCAATACTTTAACTCATCAATCAATCATTTTATTTATGTGATAGGCCTGCATTTAGAATGAATATTTACCATAAATTAAAGGTCCCTTATGGTATCAGACTTGTTATTATAAAACATGCTTTAGTTAAGGAGTTATTGATACTTCAAGTGCAAAATGTTGATATAAAAGCTTGATAAAAATGCATTTTTAAGTACTAATCAATGAATAAATAATTAACTTTGGTTAATGACATCCTAAATGTATAACCGGGAAGAATGAATGACTAGCTTTAACTAATAGCATCATAAGTCGATGATCGTGATGAACAAATGATTAATTATGGCTAATGACATCCAAAGTGAATGCCCAATATGAACAACTGATTAACTTTGGTTAATGGCATCCTAAATGGATGATCAGGAAGATTAAATGACTAGCTTCGACTAATAGTATCCTAAATGGATGATTGGGATGAATAAATGATTAATTATGCTAATGGCATCCAAAGTGGATAACCATGATGAATAAATGATTAACCTTGGCTAATGGCATCCTAAATGGATGACCAGGATGAATAAATGATTAGCTTAAGCTAATAGCATCTTGAGTGGATAACCGGGATGAGTAAACGATTGACTTCGACTAATAGCATCTTAAGAGAATAGGCAGATTTGAGAGTTATAAGTTAGTTTCAAGAATTGATGCGTTCATGTATACTCTGTTTTGTATATACTAAATTTATGAAAGGATTATGATTATTATGCTTTAATCAGATAATAACATTAGTTTGCCTAACGATATTTGAGATGAATGATCGGGTTTGAGTATTGTAACTAGCCTCGATAATTGACGAATTATTAACGGTGATATTTACATAAGGGGAAATGATATAATTACGCTCTTTTGGTCCATGAATGAAATGTAACGCTAATATTGCTTTATTATGTTTTTAGATTGCCTGGTGTGTAAGAAAATCCATTTTGCAGCTCACATATTTCAAAAGGAAATATATATTTACACGTTATGAGTGATATGAGTTCTGTAAAAACAAATGTGTTAATCACTCAATTAGTCGCTCAACCCTTTTTGTAAAGACTAGTAATGAAAAATTCAAATAGAACATAGATGTGAATGTGCGAAAAAGTTGATATGATGTGTATGAATATACATATGAGGTATTCACCTTATAAGGATGTCATATTATGAAATTACATGAGTTCAAGATAAGAAAAGTACTAGTTGTGTAATTTGTTGTTCGGCACTCTTGTATGAACTCGGGATGATAACGAGACTAGAATAAGAATGTGAATTTATGAGTATGTCAATATGATGTAATGTAAACCTATAAGTATGGAAATATAATATCATGGGCACAAGTATTGAGAATTTATTTTATAGGAACATTGGCTTACGTTATCCTATATATATCGTGCCATGTTAATGAACAAAATGCAATGGTAAATCTAAAGAATGATATGGTGAAAACATCTAGATACAGGATGATAAAAAAAATTCCATTGATTTTGGCCTTGAAAAAGTGGGGTCATTACAGTGGTAGTTTTAGGTTTTGGAGCAGGTTGGTGTGGAGGCACATAATGGGTGTCCTTTTTTATATGGTGGTTGACAAGAGGCATATCATGGTATGAAAATGGTTATCTCTATTGAAAGTTAGGGAAGATAAAGATAGATCACAATAGCTTTTGTTATTCGGGTAGTTGTTGGTTGTTTTAGGTGGGAATGATGGGCTAATGTTGGCTGGCAACTGGGTTTTTAGGTTGGTTTTAGGCTGAGAAAAATAAGAAGAAGATTGTTGTAGTCCTATTTGTGAGATAGTGTTTATTGCATAGCTGATTAGTACTTAAAAGTGTATTTTTATCATGGATTGTTGTTATTATTGTTATTACTATTATTATTGTTGTTGTTTTTATTATTATTGTTGTTGTACTATTGTCGTTTATAATTTGTACAATTCACCTCCCTGTGGTTCGACCCCGGTCTTGCCGGGTTATTTATTACTTCGACACTCCTGCACTTGGGAGAAGACATCAATCTTTTAGTCGTGTCAATAGCTCATCTCCTTCCCCTCTAGCTATCTGGGTTAGGGTTTTATAAGAAAAATAGGGAGGTTTTATGGCTCATGTGTTAATGGGATCTTGACTCTTGATGTTGAGGAATAGATCTCGGTCATTCATTAAATCTAGCTCTGCAACTGATAAGAAAATATGCATGATAAGAAAATATGCATGGTTGTTTTTGCAGATAGAGCAGTATTGAGTGGTGTTTTTGGAAGAAAATTTATAGGTGTTGTTAATGCAATAAAAGCTTGAATTTTTAGTTTAGAGTTAAGTAAAAATATCATAGTATGGGTTGATATAAGATTTATATGCTATGATGAAGTTGTGAGGAAGAAATTAGGTTAAAAGGTCAGTAATTAGACATCCTTTTTCTTTTATTTTAAAGGAAGAATACAAGAAATAGTAAAATTTTCTTAATTTGGTCCTTAAATCTTTGGCACTTTGTAATGGAATCTCTAATCAACTCTAATCTTTTGGATTCCTTGCAATTTCAACCTTAGCCTTTTTCAATTAGAGCCTTAAGTTTTAGTGTTTTTTAGAAAGTGATCATTGGTTTTAAATTTCTTTAATATGGTCCTCAATTGAATTTCATACTTCAAATTTCTTTTAATTAAACTTCTAATTGCACTAATTTAGCATTTTAAACTTTCGACTGTGTCTGTAATTTTTAAATTTTTAAAAATTGATCTAAAAAAGCCTTTAAACTTGATTTTTCTGCAATTGAATTCTTGATTGAATCCACATATTAAAAGTTTAATTAAGTCCATGAACTTAATTAATTCTTCTAATTTTTGCTCAATTGAGTTTCAAACTTAATTCTTTTTCAATTAAGTCTTTAAATAAGTTAATTAAACATGTTAAGAGTTTAATGAAGTCCTTAAACTTAATTAATTCTTTCTATTTTGGTCAACCTCGATTTCCTTCATTTCTTCATCCTATCTTGTCAAAACATCTCAATTTGGCTATTCTTCTAGTGTTTTGGTCTTTTACAGCTTAAAAACTTATATCCTTATGTCCCAAAAATAATTTGACAGCTTAAAAACTTATATCCTTATGTCCCGAAAATAATTTGAAATTTTAAATATTTTTTTAAAATTTTTTAATAATATATATATATAATTTATAAAATTTTTTTAATAATATATATATATATAATTTATAATTTTTTTATTTTATTTTCTTTAACTTTTTTATCTGTTAGATTTAATACTTATTTTTTTATTATTATTTATTTTTTAAAAAATAATTTATAAAATTAGATTTTGGTTATCAATTACATCTTCTTTCAACTTTTTTATTTGTTTATTTTGATCTTCATTCTTCTAATAAATTTTTAAAAAATAAAATATTAATAAGTTATTTTCTAACTCATTTTTCATAATATAAACCAAATAATAAAAAATAATTTCTAACTTATTTTATATAAAACTATTAAATATTAAAAAAATAATTAACTTTCCATAAAAAACTATTTTTTTAAAAGAACCTACTTTTTTACGACAAGCAAATACTAAAATAAATTCTTTCAATGAATTATCAATATAATGTATTTCTATTTTTTCATACTATGTATATTATCAAATGAATTGTCAATATAAAATGTTTTTAAAAACTCGCATATTATTTATATTTATGATATATAAGGAAGTTTATTTGAAATTGTATTCTAGAAATAAGGAAGAAGATATATGATATTTATGCATATATATTTGTATTCTATAAACATGTAAAGAAGAAAGCTTATATGATTAAGAAAAAATTATTTGACAATCAAATTTCTACATAGCTCCCATTTATCCATTCAAGTAAGTTTTTTTTTTTCCCGTTTAAAAAAAATATACGTGTCAGGGTGTGTGTGTGTATCGTGGATGTATTTTCCCATATGCTCTTTTAAGAATTTTCACTGGCATATGCTCTTATATATATTTATATTTCTTTTATATATTTTTTTAAAAAAATGGATCAAAATATCCTATAATCATTAAAAAAACCTAAAAATTGAACAAATAACTTTAATTTAAAAAAAAAACTTGAAATCACTTTAAAAAGTCGAAGAATTAAGAAGATCCACAAAACACACACATTAAAAGCCTAAAAAATTTTAGAAACTTAAAAAACAATATTAACTTGTCATATCTATATATAAAAAAATCATACCAATAAAACCGAGATATGTTTGTGGAAACAAAATAAATTTTACAGCATATAATTTTTTTTTCTTTTAAAAAGAAACAACTGAGAGTAAAAAAAATATTAAAAAGATATACTGTACAAAACGTAAGGAAAATAAAAACAGATAGATAGATAGAAATTAAAATTAAAATAAGTTAATAAAATACACCACTGTAAATAGCCACAAACCCTTCCCATTTGTTGTAAACACTACTGAGTGAAGCCCCCCGCTCTTCGCCTTCCTCACTCTCAAAATTAAGAAAACACGCACGCTCTCTCTCTGATTCCCCATTTGTTTTATTAAAAACTAGGGTTTTCAAATTACCATCAATCAACCATGTCGTTGAGACCTAGCGCGAGAACCGAGGTTCGTCGGAACAGATACAAAGTCGCAGTCGACGCTGATGAGGGTCGCCGGAGAAGAGAGGACAATATGGTGGAGATCCGCAAGAACAAGCGTGAAGAGAGTTTGCTAAAGAAGCGACGCGAAGGTCTCCAGGCACAACAGTTCCCTCCCGCTCTTCTCTCTTCTTCTAATGTGGAAAAGAAGGTAACTTCACTATACTCGCATGTTATGTATTCTTGAACTGTGGATCTTGTCGGTATTAGGTGTTTTGTTGATTAGGGATTCGATGTTTCGATTTTTTTTCTATTTGTAAACTTTTGCAGTTAGAGAGTTTGCCTTCGATGGTGGCTGGTGTTTGGTCTGAGGATGGCAATTTGCAGCTTGAATCAACTACTCAGTTTCGGAAACTGCTTTCGATTGGTGTTGTTTTGGGCTCCTTTTCTTTTGCTTAAGCGTTTTGTTTCTATTAGTAAAGATTGGTTATTTATGGAGGGGTTGCTATTGTTATTGGCAGAGAGGAGTCCTCCGATAGAGGAAGTTATACAAGCTGGGGTTGTTCCACGATTTGTTGAGTTTCTTGTTAGGGAGGATTTCCTCAGCTTCAGGTGCGTGTTTCTATGATATTGTGATGGTATGTGTTTGCTGATTTGTTTGAATTGGAATGGGGTCGTGAAGTGTTTGTGTCATGTCTTGGAACTTGTGTAGTTTGAGGCTGCTTGGGCTCTCACAAACATTGCCTCTGGAACTTCAGAGAACACTAAGGTGGTAATTGATCATGGTGCGGTTCCAATATTTGTCAAGCTTCTTGGTTCTCCCAGTGATGATGTTAGGGAGCAGGTATGTCTTTAATTTTAGTTACCTAGTTTGTGGGAATTGTGATTAGATAATGTGCACATGGAAGAGAGTCTAGGATTGAATATATTTTCTGGTTAAATTTCAGGCTGTGTGGGCATTGGGAAATGTTGCTGGTGACTCTCCTAAGTGCCGGGATCTTGTGCTGAGCCATGGAGCCTTGATTCCATTGCTGGCACAGTTGAATGAACATGCAAAGCTTTCAATGCTGAGGAATGCTACATGGACACTATCAAACTTCTGCAGGGGCAAGCCACAGCCTCCATTCGAGCAGGTTATTGTCAGATTCTGTGCATTGATTGGGAGTCACAAGTTTTTGGCAATGGATGATGTAGAAAGTTAAAAGGTTTTTAACTTGTGAAATTTGTTGGGCAGGTGAGGCCAGCCCTTCCTGCACTTGAACGTCTTGTACATTCAACTGATGAAGAAGTCCTAACTGATTCTTGCTGGGCACTCTCTTATCTTTCTGATGGTACAGATGATAAAATCCAAGCTGTTATTGACGCAGGTGTCTGTCCACGACTCGTGGAGCTCCTCCTGTGAGTGCAGCATTCTATTGATTGATTGGTTTAATATTTTCTTGTATCTCATTATCTGCATATAAGTACATATAGAAAGCATGATCCTTCATACATGAATTGTTTCAGCCATCCTTCTCCTTCAGTGCTTGTTCCTGCCCTCCGCACAGTTGGAAATATTGTGACAGGGGATGATATGCAGACCCAGGTAAAGGCGCTTCTGGCTTTTTGTTTGTTTGTTCCATCGTGCAACAGCAGAAGTGCCTTTCATGACCGCATCCGTCTGACATTTTTTTTTTTTCTAGAAGTTATTGATCTGAATCAATGTTATAACATGGTTTGCATGAATTGTTTTTTTTTGTTCCCCACAAATAACATCAATATTGATTCTTCTGCAGCATGATGGAAAATATGACCATGTTAAAGGTTTGCTATAAAGACTGAAGAAGTTAAATACTGGATGAACAAACCAGTCAACTATTACAAAAATTGAAATATAACCATGTTAGAGGTAGGGGTGAGTATAAAAACCGAGAAAACCAAAAAAAAAAAAAATTGAACTAACCGATTAGAAAAAAATTGATTGAACTGAACAGGTTCAAACAGTACTAAACCGAGTTGAAAAAATCCCAGCTATATATATATTAAACTTTCTTCTAACCCTAGGAGTTAAATCATACTTCTTTCTTCTAACCCTAGGAGCTAAAGCTCAATCTCTGTCTCAGCAACCCCCTCTCAAGCTTTCTCCAATTATTTTGATCTCTGGTTTTTTAACGAGATTATTACTAGTACTAGTTTGTCTCTAATCCTTTGCCTCTATCATTCTTCTTTCTCTAACCTAGTGCTGTCAAGGGGCGCTAGCCTATGCACTCCAGGTGAGGTGAGGCGACAATGTCTTTATTAGCATATGGCGATGAATTTATAAAGCATTGCCAGGTGAGTGGACGCTAGGTGTTAAGGCAAGCGCCTGTTTGTCCATTTTTTAATTTACCACAAGAAACAACTTATTGGTATTTTTTAAAGATTTGGGTAAAAAAGAACAAACAAACATTAAAATGGGAGACATACAATTAAGGAAAGACACTTGAAGAGAAACACTAGCCACACTTTGTGTTGCCTCTGAACAAGAAAGCATGGATGAAGATGTTTTTGAGTAATGATGGTGATATTTAAGTTTGCCTTTTCATCTATTTGGCTACTTAATATTTTAAATTATTTATTTTCACACAATGACATTTTTTTATTGCTTGAAATGTTGGTTTTCTTATACCTAACTCTGACACGTCTCTCCTTTGCAGTGCATAATTAACACTGGTGCACTCCCATGCCTTCTAAGCCTGTTGACGCATAATCATAAAAAGAGCATCAAGAAAGAAGCTTGCTGGACTATCTCAAACATCACTGCTGGAAACAAGGAGCAGATCCAGGTGAGCTTGCATGACTTGGAAGTGCATGTTTTAAGCTCTGTTAAGCTGTTTCTTGTTTGATTCTGTCAGTCCTCTTAGAAGAACTCTGGGCTCTTCTAATTGGGGTTCTGAATTTATTTACTGGAATGATCTGCATTGCTATCTTCATTAGCACTTGTGATCTGAATTCCTTGTATGTGAGATTGAATGCTTCAAGTACCTCTGGATTTTTACTCTTTTATCTTTTCTAAATTATCTAGGCTGTTATTGAGAATGGTTTAATTGGCCCGCTTGTTAATTTACTTCAAAATGCGGAGTTTGATATAAAGAAAGAAGCTGCTTGGGCTGTGTCTAATGCTACTTCAGGTGGCACTCACGAGCAAATTAAGTATGTTATTCTTCTGTTCTAAAACATTACTACTTGTTTGTTGAATGTTATCTGGTTCTCTTGGCAGAAAAGTGATTGGCTGTTTTTGGATGACAGGTTTTTGGTCAGTCAGGGATGTATTAAACCATTGTGCGATCTTCTTGTATGCCCTGATCCAAGGATTGTAACTGTATCTCTTGAAGGATTAGAGAACATTCTGAAGGTTGGGGAAGCGGAGAAGAATTTGGGGAACAGTGGAGATGCTAATTTCTATGCCCAGATGATAGATGATGCTGAGGGACTAGAAAAGATTGAAAATCTACAGAGTCATGACAACAATGAGATATATGAGAAGGCAGTCAAGATTCTCGAGACTTACTGGTTGGAAGAAGACGATGAGACTTTGCCTTCAGGTGATGGTGCCCAGCAAGGATTTCAGTTTGGTGGGAACGATGTTCAAGTTCCATCTGGTGGATTCAACTTTTAGCTGAAGGTATTTAAAATACTTGCTTTCAAGTCTTAAATATACACTATTATCTGAATTTGTGAGGTTAGTATAGCTTGAACTATCCATTATCTCAAAGCTCTGAGTATAATTTCTCATGTAGTCTGGCCTTGAAAACGAATGATCTTACTTGTGCTCCAAGTAATATTACTTTTGTTTGGAAGTCTGAGTTTTGCGTAATTGGTTTGCCCCAGGAATCTGTAGAGTTTGGAATGGTGAAGCAGTTCTTGGTTGGGGTGACAAATTATGTCAGGGTCAAGTTGGGTCTGGTCTCGGCACCTCGTTTCTTGTTACAGTCTGTTATAGAGTCCATCGTGGTCAAAGAGGTGCCTAACAGGTCAGTCTATACTACAGCTTATGATAAGAAGGGGGTCAGGAAGGTGCTATAGCAACATTGTTACCTGGTCAGCCATGCTTGATATTTTGGCCTTATTGCTGTGGAGTGGCATGGAGGGTGTTAAGAAGTCCATTGTTGCATAACCCTTAGCTTTGATCACTGAACACGCTGGGGGAGGTTTTCTTGTACGCTGATCGAAATCCTTTTATGTTGAGTCATGTTGTGCTAGTATTTTTTTATATATATGTGTAGTCTATTTGGTTTGTCTTTGATTGGGTGAATATGGTATTTGATAAACCTCATATATCTTGGTGTCTTTGATGGAAAGAAATGAATTAGCAGTATTTTATTTTTTTTAATGTGGATAAGTTAATTGTTTGGCAGAATGGATAAACCAGGTGCATCTATGTTCCAATAGAATAAAAATGGTAACTCCTATCTATAATGTTTATATATATATATATATATAAAGGTCAAGAGCTTATGCGAGAAAAGGTGGGGTACAGATGGATGATAGATAGGTGTCAAGTAGGAATCTTTAAATATTTTTATTTGGAGTATTTTTTAATTTTATGGAGATTTTTTTAAAGAAATCACTTGAGTTTCGTAAGTTTAATTGTTGTGATTTTACTGGGAAGGATTATCCGTAAAATCGTATTTGTTCTCTTCCTTGGTTTTGGGTGTTGAGCCAAATGTTGAAATTGAAGGCGAGCGTGCGCAAGAATGGGCCGCTCCTATAAAGCGGCAACAATGGTGGCCAATGCAAATGCCAACTATTTGGAAGGCTACTTGACTGGAAAAGCGGAGGAATCTGAGTCATATGACCTTTGTAAACGCACACTCGAAGGGCAAGTGCTTTGTTCTTTTGCAGCCTATAATCCTTAATAGTAATCATTAAAATGTGTTTTTTGAGCCTTTTAAGCTTTATCAGCTACTGCTGAGCCTGGTATGGGGGCCATTAATTTTTGCTATTTCAGGATCTGAAAATTCGTATTTTTTTCCTGCTGGACCCTCACGAGAGAAGGTCCCTTGAGACTTGCCACTCCCTCCAGACCATTTGCTTTTGTGCAGCTGGTATCCTCCACTCAGATTCTGTGTTTTTCTCCATAAGATATGTAAAAATCAGGTAGCTTGTCCGTAATTCTATTTGTTCCTGTAACCAGATTTTATGAAAACCTTGAGCTGAAGATTGCGGACATTCCGATATTTGGTGAAGAAGATAAATTGAGGCCATCAGTTGGATTATTTTTAATGCCTCTGTTGCCGAGACTTCTTCAATTTGGGGGCGCACACGGAAGGCTAGAGCAACAGGAAGGATGGTATGAGAATACACACTATATATTTCTCCCCACGCTAGAGCGTGGCGGAGACTCAATTCTTTCTAACATCAAAAAAAAAAAAAATCAAAATATTAACTTGATTAATTAGTTATTCAAAATAATCTTAGAAAAAAAAAGAGAAAAATAAAAAATTCAAGTTCTAATATTAAATAATAAAAAAAATAAGTTAAATTGGGCTAATCTTTAAAGTAAGTAGCTCTAATTATGAAATTGAGATAACTAGACAAGAGTAGCAAAAAAAAATCTTGAATAAATTTTTTAACCATCAAAAAATTAAAAGGAAAATAAATAACAATCAAAACAATAAGGATTAAACCTTAAAATTAATGAAAGAAAATAATGAAGGACTTCATTAAAAAATTAAAAAAAGGATAAAAAAGGTAATTGAAAAAATGAGAACTAAGATTGGATTAAAAAACAAATGAAATAAAATGCTAATGGAAAAAATTAGAAAAAAATTAAAAAGAAGCAATTGAAAAATGAGTACTAAATCTAGAAAAACAAAACGAGATAAAATAAAATATTGAGGGAAAAAATCAAAAGAAAAAAACCAAAATGATAATTGAAAAAACAATTGTCAAGACAATGAGTACCATAGTTGATATATATAAAAAAATAAAATTAAATAGAAAGGGATGAAACTAAAAAAAAAGAGGAATCCAAAACAAACAAAAACCAATTAAAAAAGAGGATCATAATTGAATTTTTTTTATCTTTGTTATTTTTTTAATCAAAATAATATTATTTTTACTTTTTAGCTAAATAAAAAATCAAGCAATTAGTTAGGAAAAAATCATGCTAACACTTGCTGATTTTTTTTTACCATCATTTTTTTATCAAAAAAATGTCATTTTTATTTCCTGCACAATAAAAAAATTCAATTAATCTCAGTGACCCTGATCATTCGACCCAACCTGTGACCCAAGACATGATGAGGGTTGACTCTTGAACCGTATTTTAAAAACATGATAAAAAAATAAACATCAATTATAATATGAAAATTCAATAAAATTAAACAATAAGGAATGAAATTGCCAAAAAACAATCAATCAATAAGAGAACTGAAAATAAAAGAAAATTCAATCATAAAAATCAGGATCAAATTTAATAAAAAAGAGTTAAAATCAAATGATTAGGGATTAAATAAAAAAATAAAATCTAATTTAAAAAAAAAAAAGATTAAATGTAAAATAAATAGGAATCAAAATTTAATAAAAAAACATAAAAAATCAAATACCAAAGCATGAAATTGAAAAACATCCAAATTAAATTCAATACAATTAAAATATTGAGTATCATTTTTCAATCTTGTAAAGTCAGCACACCTTCTGAGGTGTAAGAGAGAAAAAAGATGGGCGAGGAGAAAAATTACCGTTGAAGCTCCGCCATGTACTTACGGTTGACATACATCAACCCATTGTGTAAATGGAGGCACGTCACTCCAAATGTCATCCTTGAAAGCAACAAACAACTATAGAGAGGCTCCGCATGCACCATTTAAAAGGCTCATTAGCAACTTTATCTTTTTTAATTTGTAAAAAACCATAACAACCTTGATCTCACGTGATAATTATTAAAAAACAAGGTCAAAAAAACAAAAAATACTCCTTTATCATAGGGGGATGATTCTAAGAACTATGAGGTAATTAAATTGTTCAACAAATATGAAATTTTGAAAAAACCTGTCGTACATTAGCTATGATTCTCTTTCTTAAGGGAGTTAGGAGTATTTATACTATGTAATACAAATAAGAAAATACAAAATTACCTCTAAGTGTTTGTTCAACTATTTAGTTTCTTTAAAAAGACATTAATCGTTTTAATATGGATTGTATTGTGCATAATTGATAGTAAAAGAATGATTTATAATTGGCTAGCAATTTCAATTTAAAATATATCAGCGAACATTTTTGTTTTATTTCATTCAAACACTTCTGTTTAGATTTTAATTTGGAATCGCTTCATAATTATAGAAATTATTATTTTACATTTAATGAGCATTGTGTTTTTAACTCACTTAAAAAATTAATTTCTCCACTCATCAAAATTATATTTAAAAATGATTTGCAATCATCATAAAAATGATAATTCTTTACAAAAATATAATATAATTAAATAATAATTTACTCGGATGTTAAATCATTTCTCTAAGTATATTTAATAATTAAACCAATCTTATATCAAATATAATATTGCCACCATCACAATTAAAATCTAACATAGTTACAAGTGCAAAATAATTTTATTACATGTACACATTTCTTTGTCATTCAATCCCTATTACCTCTTCATATTTTTTTGTATTAAAATATAATTTATTTATTTTTATTATTTTTCTTTTATATTTTATAGTTTTGCAGATCTAATGGTGAAAATTAAGTTAATTAAAATCAATGGTACAGATCTCTAAATATAAAGATAGAGATTGAAATATAAAATATTTAAATGGCATTTGTTAAAGAAATTAATTGTCCCTTTCACTTTATTCCCTCTTTAGAACAATAAAAAAAATAGCCAAAATCTGTCCTTAAAACAAATAAAATTTCATTTTTATCTTTTCAATCAACTATATTCATATCCCATATCCCCGTGTCTTCATTTTTTTTTTTATTATTCTTTTGTGTTGAGATAGCAACGAAACACTCTCCTGGAGATGGCAATGAAATTTAATAGAGGCAATTTCCGCTTCCACCACCACTTGGGCGTCCTAGCCTTCGTATACATACCTCTATTTTAATTAAAAGTAATTTTTAATCTTTCATAGTCACTTTTTTATAAAGACATATATTTATTTAGTGGAGCACTCTAATTTTTTTTTCACAATCAAGGTATATAGGCTATGAAAAAATAAATTATCTTATATTTTATTAGAGAGAGTTTTAAATATATATTGAAAAGATTATGAGTAAAATAAAATATTTATATAAAAATCTAAATACGAGGTTCAATGAGTAAGAAAACATCATATTTATCTTTATACTTAAATAAATATTTTTATAGCTACCTCTATTCGGGTGAATAACAGTATATTTCTATGAAGATAAGTGGCACCAGGATAAAATTTTTTATAGGATTTTACTCTTAGCGCGGCAGCCTAGTCCCACACTATACTCAGCTTTCCTTATAATTTCAACTCGTGTTTAGCCTATCCACTAAAGTGTTTCACACATTTAATTAAGTCTTCAAAGCAATAGACAAATAACAACAACATAAATTTTGGAATTCAGAATCACAAACACAATTTACAGGAAAACACTCCCAACCTTTATTAATCCTAAAATAAAAGATACATAAAAAGTCTTGGAATTAAGAATTGTAAAAACAATTTACAGAAAAACACTCCAAATCTTTATTAATTACGAAACAAAGGATACACAAGACTATTTGTGTATGACATGCACAATTCTGCTTATAAGCTACACATCATTAGTTGTCTTTTATCACAGGAGAATGTAGAAATAAAACTATCATTATCACCCTTAGACAGATCTATACAACTAGACATTTGGACAAAATGGTAACTAACAAAAAATTGCCTCCAATCACCCTTGTTGTAACTTCCTTTGGTCTGCCACCTCACAAACCTTTAAGCCAGTCAGCTGAACCTCTCTACCAACCTAGTTGTGCTTTTGCACATCTTGGACAACCCTCTATCCAAGTCTGAAGTCGTGTTGAACATGCCGCCAATGTTTGCACACACCTGTTATACACTGTTGCTAAATCTGCCTCTACTCATGCATGCTATCAAGATCCCAATAATGTTCTCATTGACATGCCCTCGTTCCTAGAATTATGACAAATCACCCTACCTAAAGAGTCTGACGTCCTCGTCGAAATCGATGTGAGGTAATCTCATACCTAGTCCTCGTACTGCCACAAATCAGTATCTTTCTCCCACAAAACCTCTTTATTTATCACCCATTTCACTAAAAATTCAGTCCTTTAGCTCTTTCTATATTGCCTAAACCTATGATGATCCATTATTTTAACAATGTCATAGTCAAACTGCTTTCAAA